AGGAAAGAGTACAGATTACAGATTTCAGACTCCTAGTCACGGCAAGAGTGCCACCTTGGAGATGTCTTCTTGTGCCTCAGTTCCCCTCATCTATAATAACAAGGAATATATAAGTATCTATTTCAGAGCTGCTCAAAAGTAAAATCGGTAAGTTGATTATGTACACATACAGGACAGTCAACTACTAAGATACAAAGTAATCAACTACTGAGATACAAAGTGGTCAACTACTGAGACACAAAGTGCTTCCTGAAAGGGAGGATTTCCAGTCTAAGGCAAAATGCAAAAAGAGCAATCTGTTATTTTCCAAGACTGCCTTTGAGAGATTAAAGGACTTTGGTGCACAAATAACTACGCTAAGATTTTGGATCCTGAGACTAAGATGCTCTCAACACTTAAAAACTGTTCATATACCAGGTTCTATATTGTATTCTGGGTATATATCTTTAAATGGAGGGTGGTGGTGAAGACTTTCTTCATGACATAGAAACATGAACAAATTATGTGTGTGCACATGCATGTGCCTGTGCGTGGTCAGAGGTCAGCAGAGAGTGTCTTCTCTCAGGCTCCTATATTTTTATTTTTTTTCTGAGACAGGGTCTATGTAGCTCTAGGTGTCCCAGAACTCATTGTTACTATGTACACCATGTTGGTTTTAAATTCACAAGCAATCCATCTGCCTCTCCTGGAATCAATGACATTCATCACCACACCTGATTATAGACATTTTGGTGGTGGTGGTGGGGCAGGATTTCTCACTGAACAAATGCTAGCCATTTGTTTCCACCTTCCCAGAAATTGGTATGTGCTGCCATATCTAGCTTTTCTGTGTGCCGAGAATCTGAGCTGAGGTCCTCACACTCTGTGGGATAAGCACTTTGTCTACTGAGCTATTTCACCAGCACCATAAATTTTAAGGGATTCGACTTTCAGACTTTTTTTGTTCTCTTTCTCAACATAATCTGCCTAAAACCTCCCTCACCTGAGACCTAAGCTACACTGTAGTTTCCTTGACATCCGAGTCTCCCAAACCCAGAAATAAAAAAACAGGTAAGTTTAAACTCCACATTGATCTGAATAGCATCATGAACTTCACTCAGTGTTGCCTAGGAAACCTGTAACCCTGTATGCCAGGAAGACAACCACATGGACATTCTAGCTGTCATCACCTGTACTAAATGCCCTTTCACATCAAACAAAAATGTTTCTTACCTTACAGAGACAACATTCCTAAGAATGTAAAACTCCCAGGGTTCCAAGATTCTCATTCAAGCTCTGCTTTACTGAGGAAATCACAACTACTGGAGTTTTAGTCAATTATGCACTAAACCAAGCCAGAAGACACTTAACACCCAGAATGTTACATTCACAAGGATGCCTTATGAAAAGTTGGACATATGTAAAGAAGTGAAGGAGTTGGACAGTCCATCAATAAAGCACTTTGTGTATCTGTCTCAGTGTACATGGGCCCCTGTGGAGGCCAGAGGAAAACACCAACAGGACATCCATGTCTTCCCCCTACCACTTTCTGCCTCTTTGCTATGAGAGAGTCTTTCACTGAACTCAAAGCTAGCAATTACTGCAAGACTGGCTGGCCAGGAGCTCCCTGGATCTTACAAGCATGTGTAGCCAGTTCTGGCTTTTATGTAGATGTGGGTGATTCAGACTCAAGTCTTCTTGCCAGTATAACAAGTGTTCTTACCAATGGAGCTATCTCCCGGGTCCCCAATAAAGCATTTTTAAATATGCAAATATATTATGGAAGATTCTGTGGGGAACACGCACAAAAATTACTTCAAAGCCAAAAATTCCATGTATTTTATAAAATGGAGACGATCATATTGTTTATATATAGATGAATTTAAAAATAAAGAGTAATTTTATTTCAAAATATTAATATTTTAATACACCAAAGATTACATTCTTTATCAGTTATTTAATTCAGCAACAATGAAGATATGTCAGCTTTTGAACATGTAATTCTTTGTCTCTTCAGATTTCTTTTATGGGTCTACAGGTCACTGCTTCATACTTCTTTTCGCTTAATCTTGTGATGAACAAGAAAAAAAAAGCCTCAAGAAGTCAGGCAGCTCATCCCTGGTAACTAAATGTACCTCAGTGCCTTGAAGGCAAATGACCACCCAGCAAAGCAAATCATCAGGGGCAGCACAGTTAAGCAGCAAAGCCAAGAACTAGTAAAACAACTGATTTACAACTGATAACCTTCAGAACTAGTTAACAACTGATTTACAACTGAAAAATGACAATCACAAATCCAGTTAGTAAACCATAAAGACATTAGCATGGCCACTTACCATAAACTTTCCCTAATAGCCAAGCTCCAGGAACCCAATACAAACCTCCACTCCACCAGCTGGGGATTTGTCATGGGTGTCTGAGCACTAAGGGTATTTGGTTATCTATTCTATAGTGTGATTTCTACACCACCATTATCATCTTACTTTTCTACACTCTCATCACAATAGTCCCAGCATCTAAGGAATTTTTTCTTCCAAGTGACTTACATCTATGGCTGTAGTGAATATTTCCATAAAAATCGTGGTTTATGGGGAGAGGGTAGAGGTGCACACATTTTTAATCCCAGCACTGGGGAGGCAAAGGCAGGGGGCTCTGAGTTCCAGGACAGCCAGAGCTATGTAGAGAGAACCTGTCTTAAACAAGAAAAACAAACAAAAGGAGGTAATGAAGGAGAAAAAGAGAGCTTACTATTTCTCAGTTTCTATCAGTAACTAATAAATTCCCCTTCCTTTCTATTATGTTTTCCACAGCAACACTTACACCAAGTCAACATGAAATAAGACCTTCAAAAAATAGTAAAATAGTACGACACAGAATAGAACAGCAGCAAGAGGTGCAGGAAGCAGTGCTTCCTGGAGAAAAGCATCTCAATGATTCATGTAAAGAATAAATACTTTTAATCGTATCCTTGACTACACTGTAAAGCAGAAAATAAGCAAATCTAGGCAATATGAGGTTTATCCTTATTCTATTAAGAACTTACAGTCAGTGTAGATACATCGTAAATTCTAATTTAGAAACAGTAACATTTCATTGTGTGTGTGTGTGTGCGCGCGCGCGCGCGCGCACACACACACACACAGGTGGGGGACAGTGGTGGGTGGAGGGGGGTTGACACCTTTCACAAATGTTCTATGTAGGCAGACAAGCAAATCCAAATGATGGAATATGAGACCACCTAAATAGATGGACTGACTATACTTCCCAGTTTGAAATTTGTTGCATGATTTACATTTAAAATGACAAGTGTTTTGTTGCTGAATTGCACACAAGCCCCTCACCATTGCACAGTTACGGTACACTGACTGAAACCAACCTAACTGGGCAGAAAGGTGTATCTATGACATAATTCAGCTGCTGAGTGCCATCTGGAAATGACTTCACCAATATTAAAAACAAACAAACAAAAAACCCAACTGAGTCTCAGTGAAAGCTCCAAATAGTTCTTCATAATTATGAAATCTAATCTTTAGTGAGTAACTGCCTAGTCATTTAACCCTGGCAAGAACTCCATGCAATAGCTTTTTACAGCTAGGAAAATGGAAGCCCAGCGAAGGCCAGTGACTTGCTCAAAGCATAGAAACAGGAGTTGAGAGTTAAATTTTGTCTGTGTTGAGGCGAAGGTGTCTCCTTTCCAAAGTCTAACTAAGCCCCAAAGCATCTTGGTAATGCGGAGGAACCCACCTACTAGCTAGCTATGCCAACAAGAAGAATAATTTTTACAAGAAACATTTAGTACTTTTGGAAGCCCACCACGACAAAATATTCCAAAAGCTGTGTCACTCTGAAGTCGACCCAAATCCGGTGAGCACTCTGATGTCAATCACCAAGTGAAGAGAGCTCTCCTGCTCACCACCTCAACCTTCTCCCTCCAGAGAGGGGGTGTTACCTAGCTGGTAAATATCACATATCGCATTGTCTTTATGGGGAGAAGGATCGAAGCTCCTTAGACCCTTACAACTCAATAGACACGATTGTTTCTCTTGTGAGATTACAGGTACGCCCTGTGCATAGCTACTAAGGACAACTCGAGCGGCTGACCCTGGCAAAGCTGTTAGAATGCGCTCTGAACAAAAACTGACTGCAGTGGGAGGGCGGCCCAGGCAGGGCAGAGCACACCGAGGGAGCGAGCAAGCGGCGAGTCTGGCTGGGTTAGAGCAGCCTAGCACTTTAGGCCCAGAGGCTCCCACAAGGGCGCCTCCATATGCGGAACTCTCGCCCAATCCCCGAGCAGCCTCGCATCCCGTGACCGCCGGGGAGCCTGTTTGGAGAAAAGTAGAGAGGGAGCCCGCAAGCTGCGCTGGCGGAGGGCGCTGGAACCTGGCTGCTCCGGAGAAAATGTCTCCTTGGCAGCCGCGGCCGGTGTCCTGTGGTCTGGCTCCCCCGGGCCGGGTCGGCGCTGGGGGAGGGGGTGGCGGTGTCGGGCGCGGGCGTTTCCCGGTCCGGGTTCACTCGGCCGCGACGGAAAGAAAAAGCTAGGATTCTGTGTGCGCGGGGGTCGCGGGGCTCGCCCTTGCACGGGGCGGATGACAGCAGCCCAAGGCTGCCGAGCATGGTGCCTGCGGAGCGCAGCCGAGCCCCGGATTCCCGGGCGGGTCGGTGTGGCATCTGACCTGGGATAGGTTCGTGCACACACAGCCCGTACGCCCTTTTCTGCAGCCCTCGGCTCTGCAGCCCCCGTGCCCCGAGCCTTGGACCCACGACCTCGGTGAGATGCCAGCGGCGTGCAAGTGCCGCGGGAGGGAACCATGTTCACCTTGCCATGCACACACATCTACCCCCACGCCCTGTGTCACTGCCCAGCCGAGCCTTTCAGCCTCCCAGCCCTCGATGCCCTGCCCTGCCCTGCTCTGCCCTGCCCTGCCCTCTCTCGGTGCTCCCCACACCCGTATCGGTAATTCCCCCATTCCGATGCCGGCCACCCCAGAGCAAACCCGAAAAAAAAAAAGCAGAGACAGAGAGACGGGATTTTCCTGTGAGCAAATATATCTACCTGGATCGAATTCAGGGATCCGAGCTTGGTATTCAGCTCCGACTCTCATCCCAACATCTGTAAAGCAATGCCAAGAAATATGGTAAAATGATAATAAATAAGGAGAGGAGCGGGGAAAGGCAAGGCAGAGGCTCTCAAGCCGCGGGAGCGCGGGCGAGGCCGCGGCCGGGTGGGGGCGGGGAGGCGCGGGTCGCGGGCTGCGGCGGCACCGGGAGTTCCGGCGGCCGTGGCTCGGCTCCGAGGGGAGGAGGGCGCGGGGAGGGGGCCGGGCGGGCGAGCGGGCGGGGCGGGGAGCGCGGCGAGGTACCCCCGTGCTCGTCGTCGCTGCTGCAGCCGCTCTCGGGCTCCGAGAAGTGCAGCCCGCCGTTGGCCGAGGAGCCGCCGCCGCCGCCCGCCGGGCTCTTGGCGCCGCCGTTGGCCGATCGGTTCTTCCCTAGTAATTCGGGCCCTTTCTCCATCATGCCGGGCATGGTAGAGGAGGGGGAGAGGTGGCGTCAGGGAAGGGGGAGCCGGCTGGCGGGCGGGCGGGCGCGGGCGGGAGCGCGGAGGAGGAGGAGGAGGTGTTAATGTGGAGCCGCCATCACCGCCCCGGTCGGGCCGTAGCGCAGTCGCCCCACAACAACCCGCCCCGGCCCCGCCTCCCCCTCCAACCCCCGCCGCCGCCGCCCCGCGCCACCCGGCCGGCCGGCCCGCCGAGCGCCCCTCGCGGCCGCGCGCTCCCCACGGGGCGGCCCTGAGCTCTCCGCCGCCGGCCGAGACCGGAGATCCGAGACCCTGCGCGGTCCCGGCCGCTCGCACGCCCGGCGTTCCCCAGCGACCACAGCTCCCGGCTGACAGGCGAGCCCGGGGCTCTGGCCTCGCTGCTGGGCCGCACGGAGGGCTGCGAGCGCGGCCGGGGATGGCGTCCGCGGCTCCAGCAGGCGGGTGACGGGTGGCCGGAGGTGGCGGCTGCTCGGGTGACGGTGACGAGCGGCCGGGGATGGCCTTGGTGAGGAGGAGATGGCGGCCTCGGGTTGGTGGCGGGCCGCGTTCACTCCCTTGCACGGCCGCCCCGGGACCCGGCCCTAAGGACCTGGCGAGGCAGCTCATCTCTGCAGTGAGATCAAGAGCGACTAAGTCTTTCCACTTGGCATTTCCTCTTTTGCTGTCTTAGAAGCGAATGCCCTGAGTGGAGACAGACCCTTGCCAGTCCCAGTGCGACTCTGGCCTGGAGCAGTTCTTGAGGCAGTGGAACCCTGCGGCACAGAGGTGAGGCCAGCTGCCATCCAGCTGGAGGAAGATTCCCTGGGTAGCCTCGGCTGAACTGCATTTCCTCACCAGATTTAAGAGTGTCTGCTTTATGATATGCTGCCTGGCCTCGGAGGGGGTATTTGTGTTAGCCTCTCTTTCCAGGAGGAAGAGGGAGAACTTACAGGCAGGTGCGTGCATGTCCTGCAGAATTTGGGAGCAACGGTAAAATAGTTGTCAAAATTGTTCTTGAGGATTCCGTTACTGAGATATAGCATGTCTATATCTACTGAAGAGTTCAGCCAAGAAAATTCTAGGATACAAGTATCAGGCAGGTCACGTGTCTAGAGGAGGGCGTATTTTGTCCAGGAGCAGAAACTGATTCTGGAAATGGAAATTGTTGAATTTCTGTCTGAAAGCCTTATATTTGTCCGTTACTATTTGAATCACAGTCAACTTTTGTTTTTTAAACAAATGGGTTCCTGAAGAATATTTTAATTTTGTGATTTTTATTTTCTTCAAGGAGAAATGTTATGGACCAATGGATAGCAGGTACCTTGGGGGCAGCTGCATTTTTCACCCTGAATTATACATCCACATTTTGGTTTTTATATTCCTCCTAATGAACAATGTGATACATCTCAGCCTTGTAACATCAGCTCTTTTGGTCCTGGAACACAAAAGCCAGACCCTGTGTATAGGAAATTCTAGGGTGGGGGGTGGGTGGGTGGAGAAACCACTCCAGGTTTCTTAATAGGCTTTCCAACACCCCAACTCTGCAACGCTGTCCATGCTCTTTTCTGTAGGAAGAAGTCTGCAAATGGAACCAAAACACTGTGAAGATTCAGGACCTTTGTAACAGTTTCATCTTGCCTAGTTAAAACTTTTGAAGTGGAAAGGTTCTGCTGGAATATAGAAAAGGACAGAACAAAGATGACCACATTCACCTTTGGGGGAAGGAACTTGGGGCGAAGGGGTGTGTGTGTGTTTAAGGAAAAATATTTCCTGTTTTGCTTCTCAAGAAAAGGAAATCACCTTAAGCTTGCCTGGCTAGGAAGGGTGATAATAATGGACTTAAATGGTCTCTCAACAGATAATAATGCATTACAGACTAGACTGCTCTAGGGAGAAAGTGCTGAGAACACCTGCTTCTAGGTGCTGAGGAGGAGGAAAGCGCTGGGGTAGCAATGTCCAGTGAGACCGGTGGAGGATGTTGATCTGTTGACAGGATTTAAATTTTTTTTTTCTGATTTAACATTTTCTCAGTTACAAGGACCAAAGATAAGGTAGAGGATGGGGACTGGCTAACTTGTATAATGCTCTCCTATCGATGCCTGGGCTTGTCCTTGATAAGCACGGCAGTTCCAGAAGAAGCAAGGATACAGGCAGAGAGAGACCTTCCTTTCAGAGAGGACATGTACAAGGCCAAGGGATTAAGAACCCGTCTCTTTCAGGATGACTTGTCATGTTACATCTAGGAATGAGTCTTGTGAAAGACACCCAAGAACTGCTGCAAACAACACTATTGAGAACAAATGGCAACTCAGGGCATGCAGTGACCAGATCCCCACAGGGATCTGTAAGTCTCATTTCAATGAACCCGAGAAGGTTTCGTGTAAATTAACTGATTATAAAATTTAAATGGAAAAATATAAAGGTTAAGGGCAGCCAAGACAATCTAAAACATCGGTTCTCAACTTGTGGGTCACAGCCTCTTTGAGGGGCATTGAACAATGCTTTAGTTGGGGGGGGCTCTCCTAAAGACCATCAGATATGAAGTAGCAACAAAATAATTTTATGGTTGGGGGTCACCACATGAACTGTGTTATAAAAGGTTGCAGCACTAGGAAGGCTGGAAAAGCACAGATCTAGAAGACCAGTAAAGCTGGAGGACTTATTCTAACAGCTACTGATAATTTAAAAAGTATAGGCCTTGGAGGTAATCCAATTAGTAAAGTAATTTATGCAAACATGAGGACCTGTCTATGGCCATACCACCCTGAGCATGCCCCATATCTTTTCTGATCTCTGAAGCAAACATGAGGACCCAAATCCTCAGAACTCATGCAAAAACCAAGCCTGGGGTGGTGGCTTGGGGAAGGTGTGATAGGTGGCCAGTCTAATTGGTGAGTTCTAGGGACCATGTCTTAAAACGCAGGATGGTGGCACCTAAGGTTTAACTTCTGGCCACACACACACACACACACACACACAGACAGAGAGAGAGAGGCGGGGGAGGGGAACTGGCATAAGGATGGAAAATAAACACAGAAAAGGTGACCATTGTAGTAAATGACTCTGGGACAACTGAATATCTACGTGTAAAGACAAAAGTCATTGACACTTCTTCATTTGAAAGGGCTGGAGAGATGATTCAATGGTTATTCTTGCCGAGTACCCAGGTTCAATTCCTGGCATCTGCATGGTGCCTCCAGTTCCAGGGGACCCAGTGCCCTCTGAGGGTACCAGTCACACACAAAATTCACACAAATGCATCCAGGCAAAATGTTTATATACATAAAATCTAAAAAAAAAGTATAGCATAAATTTCTAAGAATTCTTAATAAAAACTCAGAGACAGATATTGGGGTTAAAGCTGAAGGTCAGAGAAGCAAAGCAGCCAGCCACTAGAGACTTCTCACCTCTACCAGTGCTCAGACTGAATGGACAATCCTGTCCTTAGACTGCATCTCCAGACTGCACTGCCCCTCACCAAACCTCAGACTGCACTGAGCTCCTGTCTCCTCCCTCCTTATATTCCCCTCTAGTTCTGGGATTAAAGGTGTGTACCACCATTGCCTGGCCTCTGTGGCTAACTAATGTAGCTAGATTTGAACTCTGATCTTCAGGCAAGCTTTATTTGTTAGATCAAAAGGTAACCACATACTCAATGACATATTTGCCCTCTAGTGACAGCCCCCTTTCTCCATCTTTACCAGTAAAGCACAGGTCACAGACTGCCAGTGCGAGTGAGAATTTAACTCATAATCCTCTAGATGGTTGTATTGTTTACTTTCCCATTTCTCTGACAAAAGCCTCCGGAGGGAGACAGGAGCTACTTTGGCTTATAGTGTGAGGATATGTCCTTTATGGCTGTATCATTTCACACAGAAAACATAGCAGCGAGATCAGTGAGTGCTGCTACTCTAGTAACTTTTAAAAAATCCATTCTGAGATTCAAGCATTGTAGGGTGGTGCCACTCACATTCACCTCTGTCCTCAGTTAAATCTCTGAGATATTCCCCTCCATGTACCCAGGGGTATATTTAAGTAATCCTAAAATCCAGCCAAGTTAACAGTGAAGATTAACTATCAAAAGTCCACTCCTTATCAACTTGACTCCCAAACACATCACTTTTAAACCATTATGTTTCACTTCTGTGTTGTCACATAGTTCCACAGGCTCACTGCCATACCATAATGTAAAATTCATCCAGATTACCTCCATAAGTCTCCATTACAGGAACACTGTTCCTACATCTAAAGTCTCTTCTAAGACTCAAGGCAATTTCCTAACTTTATATACTTCCAGTACACACAGAGTAAATATTACCATTCCAAATAGAGAGCAGCAAGATAAGATTGAACCAAAGTAAGGGCAAACACCAAACCCCACAGCCTCATGTTTATAGTGTGGGGTTTGTAGTGGCATCATTCCAACTTCAGTGAACGTGGGTAGCCTCATCACTCGTTTTTCTACTTGTAGTACATGTAGTCTCTGTCTCTCTTCACATACCTATTTTTTTTTCAGTACATCTGTGGTCTTGGCACCTACAATATTTTGGAGTCTTTGTTGCAACTTAGACTTAAGATTTATAGATTCACACTGTAACCCCTCAGGGCCTCCTTGTAGAGAATCTGGCCCTGCCACATCTGACCCTGTCACCTGTTGCTAGCTTTAGTAGCCTTCTGCAACCTTGGGGAAAGTCTTTACTACCCCTTCCTACTTGCATTTTCATGCATGCAAAGCCAGCACCATGTAGACAATTCTGCAGAATTCTGCTGCCAGGTCAAGATGCCTGGCTCTCTTCTACCACAGCTGCAATGTAACTCAAATAGTGCCAGTAGAGCCCCTTTTCCCCTCTGACACCTCCGGAGCCAGTCTTCCACTGAATGTATACTGGCATGTTAACCTTCCCCCTATGATAGCCCACTGAGCCCTGCTTACAGTATTCTAGGCCTTCTGTAGCTCACAGCTTCGAGCCCCTGAAGACCAGTTCCAAACAGTTCTGAGTCACACAGTTTAATTTCCCATGGAATGATCCACCTCTCAGTAATGTAAGCAAGTCCCTCCAGCCATATGAGTGGCCAGCCTCCCCACCCCCCAGAACCTCTAACTGCTAGATTCCACCCACAGCATACTCTAACTGCCCTAACTGCTGGACTCTGCCCTACAGAGTAAAAAGCCCAATCTCTGGACATGAAATCCCACCAATTTCTACCCTGAGAATTTCCACCCTCTTCCTGTTCAGTCGCCTGCTGTTTCTTACTCAAGCACAGGCAGCCACCCTCCTGGTTTTTCTCTCCAAATAAATCTCTTGTGTAAGGTTTGTTGTGTAGGGTGACTTTGGTATTCCTTGGCTTCCAGCTGCCAGGATACCTTTCCATCCAAGCTGCAATGCTTACATTTTCTGTATTAGTTACTTTTCTTACTGCTGTGATGAAAATACTGACTTAAGCAATTCAGAAAGGAGGGTCTAATTTAGCTCAGAGTTTGAGGGTGCAGCCCATCATGTCAGGGGCATTCATCCATTACTTTTCCATGGCTTTGATAAATCACTATTGCCAAAGAATAAAAAAGGAAAAGAGTTTATATTGGCTTATGGTTCCAGTGGGAATGGAGTCATTCATGATTAGGTGGAGCATGCCTGGAGTCAAGAGCAGGAGGAAGCTTAGAGAGTAAGGAAGTGAACTGAAAGAGGGGGCAAGGCTTTAAACCCTAAGAATTTGTTCCCCCCCCCCCCCACAGTGACATACTTCCTCCATCAAGGCTGCACGTGCTGCTGGGGGAGGCCAGAAGAGGGCGTCAGATCCCTTGAGAATAGAGTTCAGGTGTTTGGGAGCCACTACATAGGTGCTGGAAATTGAACTCACAGCCTGTGCAAGGGCAGGCTGTGCTTTTAGCCACTGGGCAGCTCCCTGGCCCCTGTCCTCACTTATTAATAAAACAAGAAAGGCTTGGCTGATGCTTAAAGTTTTCCTTATTTATAATTTCTTGGTTTGAAAGACAGTAAGCACACACCAAAGCCCAATAAATCTCAAGGCTTTAAAATTCACAGATTTATTCATCATACATTTGGGATCTCTGGGTAACAAAGATGAATAGTAAATAGCTCATGACTTTGTCAGACTCACAGTCTTGCGGAAGAAAAAGAGCACAGTCCTAGAACATCAGTGTAGAAGATCTTTCTTTCTGGTCACTCACCCTGCTTGCTTCTCATTTTACAGATGGAAATGGAAATCAACTGGTTGGGCAGACTGTGGTGAGAAGATCAATGGGCAAAAAAGGACTCTATCTGGGTGACCACTCTTGTGAGTGTGTACCGGGCTCCAGTGTAGCCTCAGAGAAGAATGCAGCTGTGTACACTGACTGGCACTGACCCCTGCATCACCTGCAAGCGTCCCAACAACCACTGCATTTTAGTTTTCCCTTAAACTCTGTGTGTGTGTGTGTGTGTGTGTGTGTGTGTGTGTATAGATGGCTCAGAGGTTAAGAGCACTGGCTGCTTTTCCAGAAGTCCTGAGTTCAATTCCCAGCCACCACAGGGTGGCTCACAACCATCTGTAATGAAATCTGGTGCCCTCTTTGGTATGGAGGTATACATGACGCAGGCAGGTGAGATCCAAGTCAGAAGAAGGCACCAGAACCCCTGGAGCTGGAATTGTAGGCATTTGTTATCCACTCAACATAGTGCTGGGAAAAGAAACCTGGTCCTTAATAAGAGCATCAAACTTTCTTAACTGTCAAGCTATCACCCCAGACCCTCCCACTGTGTTTTAAAGTCACCCTTTTCCTCAGCAAGGAATGTTTCAGATATTTCCCATGCCTCCAACTTCACTGCTTACCTTTCCTTAGTCTTCAGGGGTTACTTTCTTACCTCTTCCCACTCTTCCCCCAACTTACCTACCACCAAAAGGCTAGTGCCCCAATACTCTGCCACCAAAATCGCTTTCTTCCCTGTGAGATGGAGTGCAAGGTCGGCTCTTAAAATTCCCCAGCTATCTGTTCACCTTCCAGCCAGCACATCTTTTGGCCAGTTGTCTTTCCCATAGTTATTTCTGTGTAGTCACTGGGGTACAATGGGACAGGGGATACATAGCTAGACTGGAGATATGTACTGGCTGGTTTTGTATGTCAACTTGACAAAAGCTAGAGTCATCAGAAAGGAAGGATCCTTAGTTGAAGAAATGCCTCCATGAGATTCAGCTCTAAGGCATTTTCTCAATTAGTGATCAAGGAGGAGGGCCCAGCCCATGGACTGATGGTCCTGGATTCTATAAGAAAGCCATCTGATCAAGCCAGGGGAAGCAAGTTAGTAAGCAGCACTCCTCCAAGGCCTCTATATCAGCTTCTATTTCTGTGATTCTGCTCTGTCTGAGTTCCTGTAAGCCAAATAAACCCTTTCCTCCCCAAGTTGCTTTTTGGTTATAGTGTTTGGTTGCAGCAATACAAACCCAAATTAAGACAAGAAATATGAGTGTGTTCTAACAGGCTGGCCCAAATTGAAAACTTCAGCTACTGTGTGGGGTAGAAAAGGTTAAAAACTCTGCACTGAATGGACTTTGAGCTCTCTGTAGCCTTCTTTGCCTCAGGGCTTTCTTGCACCCTGGGAGCTGGCTTAGCTGTAGGCAGGCAGGGTATTGGAGTGAGTTTGGGTTCACCTCCAGAGGGCATGTGTGAAAGATAAAATCAGAAACTGCTCCTCCTCAAAGGTGCCTTGAGCTAACTTTGGTTCAGCTAAAAACAAAATAGAAACACCAGACCCCTGCCAATACCTTCTCCTCTAGTTATCCCCCCCTCCCCAAACTAGAAGTCTAGAGCAGAAACTTACAGCCAAGCTCATCTGTATTTGACAAGCTGTAAAATAAATAGGATGTAAAAATGCACAGATGAGAACATACACTATTTTTGTTGGGGAAAAGGTAAACACAAGAAAAGAAAAGACCTAGATAGTGTATAAGATTGTCCTGGTTATTAAAAAAGGGAGAAAGGGACACACATCTAATGTCATGGATGGATCTCGGCACTCAGCATAGCTGCCATTCTTGGCTGCATGGGTCTTAGGAAGTGAGGATCGTTGTTTCTCAGAGATGAATGGTAGGAGTGGATTCAGTCCCAGCTGTGTTCTTCTGGGCTTGAGAGGACCTTCATTCAGCAAGGTTGGTTCCCCATCACCAAATGAGGCAGCCAACTGTGTCTAACTCGCTTCTACTGGGTGTTCCTCCCTTCCTGGCCCTGCCTTCTCCATTCCTACGTCTGTCCTTGTCTAACTTCAGTCCTTGACTGAGATTCTCCGCCCATGCCTACCCCCACCCCATCCCTTTTCCAACAGAATCTTACTGGGTACATTAACCATACTTGGGTTGGCCTCACGCCTACAAGTAGATGGTAGATGGACGACACAAAGTGAACTCAATGACATTTTTGTAGTGAGATATCCACCCTGCCTGCACCCAATCGTGCGTGGTCACAGGTGTGGACCTGAGGGTGTGGGTGTGGGTTTAGGTCTGGGGTCCAGACAGGTGGCTCACTGTCTTGGTCTGGTTGGGTCACAGGGAGCAGCCGGTATGGATCCTTAGAGCAGGAACCTGTGGCAGCCATTTGCTTCTCCTATAAGAGACTTCTCCCCGAAATAAATTATATTTAATCTATATTTGAGCCTAGTCCTGTGAATCTTTATCCGAGCATCCACACATTTTTGTAGACATTTTATCTCAAATTGCATTGCTTTGCCCACTTTTTTTTTTTTTTTTTCCTTAATTGGTCTTTTTAGACAGGGTTTCTCTGTATTGCTTTGGAGCCTGTCCTGGAATTTGCTCTGTAGATCTGCCTGCCTCTGCCTCCTGAGTGCTGGAATTAAAGGCATGCGCCACCAATGTCAGGCTTTTTAAGAGAGAAAGAAGGGCACTGTAGGCAGAGAGATGGAAAGGATCTGGAGGAGTTGGAGGAGAGAATTGTCATCAGAATATATTATCTGAAAACATTGTTTTCAATAAAAAAAATTAGGATACAGAGTTGGGTAGATGGAATGAGTATGGATCTGGAGGAGTGAATTAAGATGACCAAAATACAATTATACACAAATTTCAAAGATTTAATAAAAGCATCTTTTTTACAAAAAGAAACTCAAACTAAGACAACACTGAAAATAGGATTCTTCAGGAAGAATATAGTATCCATGAGTTTCAGGCTAGCCTGGACTACACAGTGAGACCAAATCTCCACATGTGAAGGAGGAAGAAAAAGAGTCCTCTGATTTGAAGAATGGGTTAACTCTTTGTTGGATCCTCACTATGAGGGAGATGGTGAAAGGTTGGAGGCAGGGCCTAGCCATAAGATTTAGTGGGGTGTATCTTTGCAGTCACACTTCAGGCTGGCTATGTTTTGTCTGCTACAACGTTCTTGGTTCCTGGTGCCATGATATTCTTGCACAAGCACATGGGGGCAGGACCCCTTGAAACTGTGGGCTAAAATAAGCCCCTTGGGTTGTCTGTCATACATTGGATCATAACAATGAAAGCCACCCAATACATAAGTTTCTGTGGAGTGGGAGTTCTGAGACCCTAAAACACTGTTCCCGTTTTCAGGCCTATTTCTGTCGAAGATGCTCACAAACCAAGGCTGAGGATATAGCTAAGCAGGAAGAATGCTGACCTAGAATGTGGGAAGCCCTGGGCTGGGTGCTAGGACTTCAGAAGCTGGGTGTGGACTTATGTGCTGGTAACCTCAGCACCTGGTTGTAGAGGCAGGCACAGCTCAAGGTTACCTTCATTTATCTAGTGAAGTTGAGGCTATCCTGCGCTAAAAAGAAAGATATCCCAAACTGTTTCATAGCCTTGTGCCCCATATTTCATTCCAGTCACTGCTTTAGTTACCAGTTCTCTGTGCACCAGTTCAGTTTCCTCCAGATGCAACCTGGTCATGCCTTGGTGGTGGTGGTGGTGGTGGTGATGGTGGTGATGGTGATGATAGTAGCAGTAGTAATAGTAATCTTATAATGCATAATTGACACACAATTTAAAAGATATTATGCATTAATCTGATTTTCATGATTAAGGCATTTTTAACTAGTTTGCATTTATGTATGTATGTACTCTCTCTCTATTACTGTGTGTGTGTATGTGTGTGTGAGATGAAGGTATTCTCTCAGCTGAGGTTCCTCTTCTCTTATGCCTGTAGTCAAGTTTTGTCAAGTTGACAGAAAACTGAACATACTTTGGCTCACAATTTTCATTGTTTTGAAGTTTGTGGCAATTAGTACACCAAAGTGAGAGCATGTGTCAGAGGGAGCTGCTTAAGTTATAAAGTCACAAAACAGGAGAGAGAGAGAGGGAGAGGGAGAGGGAGACAGAGGCACACACACATATGGGTCCAAACATCCCCCAAACTCCTTAAGGCCTCCAACCAGTCCCTATTTCCTAGGTTTCCTATAACCCACCAATAGTGCCACAGGCTTGTATCCAAACCTTTCTACATACACCATCAAGGACCATATGAGTGCTAAACTATGTCAGATGTGAATCTTTCATGAGTTCACGTCAAAGTTCATCCTAGGACACTATGGTTTAGTCCCCTCAGCAAATTGAGAAACCACAATATTCTATTGAGACTGTATACACAGATCTCTTTGGATAGAATTGCATGGTCCTGGATATGTAGAAACTAGGAAGTAAGTTTATGAAGTACAGAGGAGAACTCCTTTCAGTCTTGTTGAGGAAAGAGGAGAGGTCTGGGAGCTGGTCCTTATCGGGATGTAAGACAGAACTGAATTTGCACCTTCTCAGCCTGCACTTTGCCAAGGCACACCAGCTAGCACCGACTCAGATGATTCTCTTAATTTCCACAGTGTCTAAAACTGGGGAGCATCTGTGTACATAGTAAAGAAAGAGTTACAGTTTTTATAGTGGAAGATTTGAAAGTTAATGTATCTGAAATATATACTGAAAAAATAGTAAGGGCAAGATGCTTAAATATCTTTTAAAATTAAAAAACATTTCATTTTTGTATTATTTAACCTGTTTGGTAAACAGCTTAGTTATAACCAAAATGACAATACACATGGAAAGAATATGCAAACTACATGGGGACTCCTCTATTTATTTAAAAACTATGGTTTTCCTTCTTCCCTAGAAAGAATAATTTTGAACTGCTAAGCTTTTTTTTTTTTTTTTTAAACTTTTTTATTTTCAGCCACACAAATTGAAACCTCACTGGCTAGTTTCCTGCTGCAGGCAGTTCTAGGTTTCACTTATTAGAGTTCTAGTTTTTAGACATAAGGAACACTGTTTATTTCTTGCTTTAATATTGGGCTCAATCATGTGACTATTCTTGGTAGTGCTTGCTTGAAAACCTAAAAAAAGAGTAACTTTAAAATTATTCTAGATAGGAAAGAACATTAACTCACTCTTGTGATCTCCAGAGGGCACAGTGTGACATTTTAGATTATGAAGAAAGAGAATCTTTCTTCATTTATATCAGATATTGATGACTTCTTAGCTACCTACCAACAAAATTTGTTACCAGATTCAGTATCCCACTATCTGTAAGCTTTTCAAAACTTAAAAATTATTTTCTTGAGAATTTGATATATGAGTATTGTCCTTACATCATGTCTACTCCCTTTTCCTGGCAATTCCTCCTATGTCCCCTTTTCTTCCTCAAAAATTTGTGACTTCTTTATTAATTATTATTGTTACACACACACACACACAAACACACACACATACACTCTCTCTTTCACACACACACACACACACCTTACTGAGTGCTCGTACTTATGTACATGTTTAGGGCTGGCTACTTGGGACTGGTTAAAGCCTGATTTGCAATTCTTGCACATAAATGCTCACTGATTGTTTACCTTGTGTCACTTTCAGTTTGTCTTAGAAGAAAGAGACAAGTCTGTATCCCTGATGAACATTGATGCAAAACTACTCAATAAAATACTGGCAAAGCGAATTCAAGAATACATCAGAGAAATCATCCACCATGACCAAGTAGGCTTCATACCTGGAATGCAGAGATGGTTTAACATACGAAAATCTATCAACGTGATCCACCATATACACAAACTGAAAAAGAAAAATCATATGACTATCTCCCTAGATGCTGAAAAAGCCTTCGACAAAATTCAACACCCTTTCATGATAAAGGTATTGGAGAGGTCAGGGATAACAGGAACATACCTAAACATAATAAGAGCAATATACAGCAAACCAACTGCCAACATCAAACTGAATGGAGAGAAGCTTAAGGATTCCTCTAAAATCAGGAACAAGACAAGGCTGCCCTCTCTCTCCATATCTCTTCAATATTGTACTTGAAGTTCTAGCTAAAGCTATAAGACAACAAAAGGAGATCAAGGGGATCCAAATTGGAAAGAAAGAAGTCAAACTGTCTCTATTTGCAGATGATATGATAGTTTACATAAGCGACCCAATAAACTCTACCAGGGAACTCCTACAGCTGATAAACACCTTCAGCAAACTAGCAGGATACAAGATAAACTCAAAAAAATCAGTAGCCCTACTTTTTTCAGACGACAAAGAGGCAGAGAAAGAAATCAGAGAAACATCACCCTTTACAATAGCCACAAGCAACATAAAGCATCTTGGTGTAACGCTTACCAAACAAGTAAAAGACCTATATAATAAGAACTTTGTGACTCTAAAGAAAGAAATTAAAGAAGATACCAGAAAATGGAAAGATCTCCCATGCTCTTGGTTAGGTAGGATAAACATAGTAAAAATGGCAATCTTACCAAAAGCAATCTACAGATTCAATGCAATCCCCATTAAAATCCCACCACAATTCTTCACTGACCTTGAAAGGATAATAATCAACTTTATATGGAGAAACAAAAGACCCAGGATAGCCAAAACAACCCTATACAATAAAAGAACTTCAGGAGGCATCACCATTCCTGACTTTTAGCTCTACTACAGAGCTATAGTTCTGAAAACAGCCTGGTATTGGCATAAAAATAGACAGGTAGACCAATGGAATCGAATTGAAAATCCTGATGTTAATCCACGCACCTATGAACACCTGATTTTTGACAAAACAGCTAAAATTATACAGTGGGGCAAGGACAGCATCTTCAACAAGTGGTGCTGGCACAATTGGATGAGGGTGTGTAGAAGACTGCAGATAGACCCATGTCTGTCGTTGCCATACACAAAACTCAAGTCCAAATGGATCAAAGACCTCAACATCAATCCAGCCACATTGAACCTCTTAGAAGAGAAAGTAGGAGGTACCCTTGAACAAATTGGTATAGGAGACCGCTTCTTGAGCATAACTCCAGGGGCACAGACACTGAAAGAAACAATTAATAAATGGGACCTCTTCAAACTTAGAAGATTCTGTAAGGCAAAGGACACAGGGACAAGACCAAACAGCAGCCCACAGACTGGGAAAAGATTTTCACCAATCCTATATCTGACAAAGGGCTGATCTCCAAAATACACAAAGAACTCAAGAAACTAGTCAACAAAACACCAAATAACCCTATTAAAAAAATGGGGTACAGAACTGAAGAAAAAATTCTCAATGGAGGAAATAAAAAAGACTGAAAGACACTTAAGAAAATGCTCCACATCCTTAGCTATCAGGGAAATGC